GGGCGCCTGCCGGCGGGCCCCTGCCTTTTTATCCACCCAAGACCTCCGTTTTCTCATCTGTAAAGTCGCGTCCATGCTGTCTGCCGGTAGAAAGGTTTTCATCTCAGAGAGGGGTTTAAAAACCACCCAGGTATTCTGAATTAAAGGAGGAAGTTGGGGGGTGTTCAGGAGTAACCCCTACCTATCCGTGGGTGATCACTGCCGTTTGTAGCGGTGACTCTCGGCCCTGGCTGCACATTGGAACCATTTTGGGGAGATTTTGAAAAACAAAATCCACATAGGTACCCCAAACCTAGCGAGAATTGCCGCGGCCTGGGCGTCCTGTGTTTTAAGAGCTCCTTAGGTTCAGTCACCGGTGGAGAAGCCGCTGGTTTAGGAAAAAGAGAGCGCTTGCAGGATTTCATGTGAGGGAGACTTGGTGAGCCCCGCTTCTGACCCTCTTCAACTGGGGGGGTCTCAGCTTCCACGTGTCTGGAGCGAGGAAAGCCATAAAGGCTGACGCTGACGGAGGCGCTGTGGGAAGCATTTCACACTTATTACGTGGTAGTTAGTCCTCCCAAGAAACTTGATGAAGCATCCATCCATTTCACAGAAAAAGAGACTAAGTGGGAGCTCAAGTAGCTTGTCCAAGGTCAGAGGAGACCGTGAGAACTGCCTTCGAACTCTGACTCCGTCCCGGCCCTCTTGGCCACTGGGCTATTGTGCTGCCTCCCAAGGCTGTCAGATGACTCACTACAATGCCCAGTCCCTCACGGTCCTGGCAGAGACCTTGTTGGGTCGGGAGGGGCTTTTCTTGGACAAAGGTTAGTTAGGGAGGCGTTAAAATGTGCCTGGGAAGTCGTGAATGAGTATGGAATTCACCACATACTACAGAAGAGGTGTGGCTTAGCTGGGTTCTCCGACCTCCCAAATGAATCCTCAGGCCCACCCGCCTGGGGCCGGACCACTTAGATATTGGTCCCTCACATTAAGCAGACGCTTGGGGCTGATGTCACCCCAAGGGCGGGTTTGTGTCCAGTGGACAATAGTTAAGTATTTGCCAGTTCGCCAGTGCTTCCTGGGCCTGCATTTCTTCTCCCGGGGCTGAGGGTGTGCGGCAGCCTGTTTCCCAGAGAGGCTGCCTCAGGTGGTGGTGTTAACTGCAGGGCCTTCTGTGCCCTTGACCCTTGCTGGGCGGGAGTCGGGGGTTACGCTGCAGTCATCCCGACAGGCCGTGCTGGGGGCTGACCCCGTCTGCATCTGCGGCTCGCCGTCTGTCTTAAACAGCTCTTTCCATTTCTTCCCCTGGGGAAAGACTTGTCGAAGCAATAATCTACTCACTTATTGCAAAGAGCACGAATGACTTGGCATGTTTTGGAGGTCAGCATTTTGGGGCGCTTCTGGGCAGAAGAAAGCTTGCAGGAGGGATGGGGCAGCAGCAAAGTGTCTCCTGACGGTTTATGTTACTTGCCGAGCATGAGTCGTGGGAGTCAGTACAGTGGGTGGGGACAGCTGCGCATTACACATTATCGGAGAGGCTGGCGGCTTAATCCGGGTCACAGGGCTGGAAATGGAGTGGCGGCCCGTCGGTCTGGCTGTCCGTTTCCAGGACTGGCTGCTCCGGCCACCACAGATGCCTCTCCCCGCACTCACCAACTGGGCTCCTGGTTATCGTTTGCTTTCCCGTGTCCACTTACGTGCAGGGAACCAGAGTGCGTGATATGCTAATGAAACGAGGCAGCTGGCCGTACACAGCCGGGTCTAGCTCACGCGCTACTCGGGGACACTCGCCCGGGCTGCCCGGTGCAAGCCCGCCCCAAGCCGGCCCCCACGGCCGCCCCGGGCCGCAGGGCCAGCGCTCCCTAGGGGACGCGTGCTGTGCTGTTATCACAGCATTCGTCACGCCGTGTGCGTTGTTGGCTTGTGTACCGTCTGTCGTCCTCCGCCCCAGACCAGCCGCTTCTCGGCACAGGGGTCGTGTCCACGTACGCTCTGTGCTCACAGGGCACCCAGCACCTGTGGTGTGTCCTTGAGCGCGTGAGTGACATTGGGGAGTTGAGGGTGAGCTCCCAGAACTTGGCGACGTTCCTCGAGCTCTTACTCAAGTGATGGCTTTAACCACGGATGACACTGTTAGCCTGAGTGCCCGCCCCCGAGCTGCGATGGAGGTGTTTATGTCCTGTTAACCCCGCGGTCGTCCCTCACGCCTTTGACGGAGGGAATGGGTGCACATCCCACGTACACGTTTGCATTGACATCTGAGTTGACATCTCAATACATCTAAGTATAGAAACTTTTTTTTTTTTTTTTGGTCAAAAAGGAGTTCAAATATTAAACACGTATACAAGATGCAATGAAACACACACGTACTTTTTTGGAAAATCCTGTGTTAAACTCCATACTAGTCCCTGGGCTGGTGGAGAGGAGGAAAAGGCAGCGTGCTCCGGGAGGATGGACGGGATGAGAGCTCGGTAGGTCAAAAAGGGCCGTAGAGAAGAAGAGCCCGAGGGTCTGCGGGGAACTGAGGCAGGGCAGGTAATTATAGGACCGAGACGGCGCCTGGGACCTGCCGTGACTTTATGAAAGAAAGGGGAGCGATGGAGGAGAGTAAGACTCGAAGGCTTGGTCCAAATGGTTTGTGGATCCCCTGCTCTCCTGGAGACCCAGGAACACCTGGGCGGAGGGACAGCGGCTGGCACCTTCGGCAGTCCCCGGGGAGCTCCTTTGAGTCTTCTGCAGGAAGCCAAAGCCATAGGAAGAATGACTTCCGCTTTGCAAAATAAAGGCTCGATGGTTTATTTCAGTTTGAGATTCGGCCTGAATTTTTGGCTTAAGAGAGTGACTCTGCCACGTCTTTGTGGCTTTCGCCGCCAGAGATCTGAAGATCTGTGCGTGTGATTCGTGGAGAGTGGCGCCCATCTGCGATTCGATGAATCAGTCAGCCTCTGGCTCCACTTCTTTGGCATGGATCCAGCCAGAGTAGTCCATGCTCGTGCTCAGCTCAGAGGCGTGCAGGGGGTGGCCTTTGTGTGTGCGTGCATGTGTGCGTGTGTGCGTGTCCCCATCTGTCTCTGTGCATGTCTGGATGCTCTCAGAGCAGAGGCTCGCTTGGCGGGGACATCAGATAAGGTCAGTGGAAAACCCGTGGTTTGTGGGGGGATGGTGGTGGGGCACAAGTAAGAACACTTTCCTCACGTGTCACCTGCAGCTGCCGCAGTCCCCGCTGGTGTTCAGGGAGACCGTCACCGTTCTCCGTGTGCCCCGTGGCGTCTTTGCCTCCCTCGTGTGCTCACGCGGGGGCAGGGCAACGCCTCTGTTTTCGAGGCACTCGTTTGTTCCTGGCCACGGGGAGCTGGGGAGCCCCAGCCCAGGGCTTTCGTGGCCCTTGAATGTCTCCTGGCCTCCTGACTGCCTGTCCTCCTCCACCTCCTCACTCCGCACGGAGAAAGTCACCGATGGTCAAGACACATGAAAGAACCGGTCGCTGTGTGTTGTGCTTCCTCCTTGCCGCCAGCCACAGGTCCGGGGGCGGGCCCTAGAATAGTGTGCTGGCCGTTTGGACAGCAGGCTGAGTGCAGGACTGCGTGGGGACCGTCCAGCGTAAGATAGGCATCTTCCTTCAGATAAAGCATCTGTCTAAACGTGACGACGTCTGCCTAGATTTGGGGTGCAGCTGTATAGCTTTGCCCGCACCCGTGTGCCCGGTGCCCAGGGAGCAGTGCTGCGTGTCTGGTGGGGGATGCGGGGCTGACCGTGGCAGCCGGGGGGTGGGCAGGTGGCCAGTCTCTTGCTCTCAGCAGGTGGCCCCTGGTTCACGAACACTCATCACCAGGATGCTGGAGTCACCTGAAGGTGTCAGGGGTTTTGGGGGCAAGATGCCATCCAAGGAGACACTGCCCCTTAAACGTCCAGGGCTCTGTAGCTGCCTTCTTAAGACGCAGTGAAGAGCCTCTCTCCCCGGTGTGTCATCTTACCGGGATTCCGAGGGACGTGGGACAGTAGTTCAGCAGCGAAGCCAGGAGGAGGTTCACAGGCACGACCTTCTGGGTTCCCCTGCCCGGGAGCATGTGGGACCCCGTGACCCGCCATGCCTTCAGCCTGCTGTCACTCAGAACTAGGCAGTGGGCAGGCGAGGAGCAGAAAAGGGCAGGAGAGTCAGTCCCAGGGACAAAGGAATGTGTCTGTCGCCCTGTGGCGGGGAGGGTAGGGCAGCGTTTGGAGTCCCTGACCTACTTTCGTTTGACAGACTCCCACTTTTTAAAATCACCTTCCTTGCCTACGTTATTTTGTTAACCAATGTTACTCCGATTAATTTAAGTAAATGTAAATAAAATTGCCTTCTTAAAATAAAAGTTTTTTAGGAAGGTCACTCAGACCAACGGGCTGGAGACTGGGAGGGACGTTGATGATTGGCTTCTTTCCGTATTGACTGGGGAGGGGGCGTCACCTGGAAGCTGGAGGGAGCTGCGAGGTGAGACCCCCGAGGCGGGGCTCCGGCCACCAGGGGGCCCTGGTCCTGCTGGACCACGAGGTGGGAAGGAAGTAGGCCTGCTTCATCTTCATCTCTGGCCGCCCCCGTCTGTTCCCCTCCACAGCCTGTGGGCCGAAGCTGACCAACTCCCCCACGGTGATCGTGATGGTGGGCCTGCCAGCCCGGGGGAAGACCTACATTTCCAAGAAGCTGACTCGCTACCTCAACTGGATTGGCGTCCCCACGAAAGGTGAGCCTGGGCCCCAAGGCCAGGTGGTCACAGTCCCTGCTGTGACCCTACTCCCCATCCCCCCCCAAAAGTCCCCATATTGTCACCCGCCGCGCTGCACACACCCTTACTTTGTGGTGGGGTCTTTTCCCACTGGCCGCTCTGTGATTCCCGCCACCCTGAGCCCCCTCAGCCCCCACTCGGCTCCTCCAGGAAGCTTCCTCTGCCACCGCGGTCTGTGCTGGTCTTTGTCCCTCACGTTCCCGGAGTGCTCAGTTGCTAGGACGTCGCTCTGCTGACTGTCGTAAAGGGCTCCGAGCCATCGATCAGATTTTATGAGTCCCTGCCTGGTCCGTCCAGCCATCTGGGACACGCCTGGAGGCCAGGGACTGATTTTACGTCGCTGTCCCCCGCGGTGCCCAGCGCGGTGCCTGGTGCAGGGAGTGAATATTCGGGGTCGCAGGCTACTGCGTCAGTGGGTGACTGAGTTAGAGCCGGCCGTGGTGGGCATCGCTGGCAGAAACCACTGCCCCCGTGTTCACTAGACGTGTGACTGCCACCTGTTCTCACAGCCTCAGCCTCCAGCCCCTGACCTTGCGAGGCTGGCCGGGGGACTGGGCTGCAGCGGACAACCTGCAGAAAAGCAGGCGGCTGGGAGCCACGCCCGGTCCAGGGGCCCCGGCTCTTCCAGGTGGATGAAGGCGCGGGACGAGGGGGTCCCCTTTCTGGTTTCCACGTCTTACCAGCATCGCACTCCAGTGGGCGTGCGTGTGCGGGCTTGTTCTCCTTTTGGGGGAACGTGCCCAGCCGCGAGTGGCCCGCCTCCTCCCGGCGGCCAGCTCAGTGTCCCCTGTCCCTGCCCGTCGCAGTGTTCAATGTCGGAGAGTACCGTCGCGAGGCCGTGAAGCAGTACAGCTCCTACAGCTTCTTCCGCCCGGACAACGAGGAGGCCATGAGGGTCCGCAGGTAAGGCCCGTGCCGCCGGGCAGGCCCTGGCTGGGGGGTCGCTTTGCTTCCGGAAGCGGGGTTCAGTGAGGGGACGAGGAAGCTGGCCTGGGGTGTGGCCCCACTGCCATGTGTCCCCACTGCCGGTGGCCCCACTGCCGCGTGCGTTAGGGCGTCTCCTGGCATCTGTGAGACGCGCTGCTCCCGTCGGCTCCCGGACGGGCTAATGCAGCTGACATGATGCGGATCAACAACACGGTCTTGTTATTAAGAACGAACACAACCGCTTTCGTGGAAAATCAGCTGTTCACACGAGAAAGCACTTTTTTAAGCCCGAGGTGATCCTGAAACCCGAGTGTGATGACGTCCAGCCCTGGCTGCACTTTAGAGTCACCCGGGAGGTGGGAAGGGACCTGGCACCAGGCCCGCCCTGGGCCAGTCCGTGCGACCTGGGCAGGACCTGGGCGTGGGTTCCTCAGAGGTCCCGGGGTTCACCGTGCAGGCACAAGCAGCGCTTTGGGGAGTGACTATGGCCCTCTGTGGGGCTCTGACGGGGTGCCCCTGGGCCAGCGGGGCCTGGCCAGCCCGAGCAGGCCCGCGGTAGCACAGCCGGGCGCTGCGGCCCCTGGGGTGCGGGGGAGCCGGGCGTCTCCTGGGGCGGGCGGGCCCTGATGCCTGCGCTCTTTCCGTGTGTCCCAGGCAGTGCGCCCTGGCTGCCTTGAGAGACGTCAAAGCTTACCTGACGAAGGAAGGGGGCCAGATCTCAGTAAGTCTGGGGGTACACGGCTCCGTCTCCAATCCCGTGGTGGGATGGCACCCTGGACAGAGTGAAACAGAGACCCTGGCCCGAGCAGTGGCGTGGTGGGGACCCCTCAAATAGGGACAGGTGCCTCTGACCCGAGAGTTGGGAGAAGCAGGTGGCTGGACAGCACAGGGACACGGGACGGAGGTCAGGGCGGGGGGCACAGCCGGCCAGTGTGCCCTGCACCCCTCCTCTGCGTGCGGTCGGCACCCCTGCAAGGCATGCTGGACCTGGGGTGGCTGCAGCCACGTGCACCCCCCCCGTCACCGTCACTCGTTCCTTCGTTTTAAGGGCCATCGCCGTCCGTCCCCTCCCATCCCTGAGTGTGGCGGGGGAAGGGGGAAGGCGGGGAGGGCCGCGGGCCGGGCGCAGCCTCTCCGGAACCGCTGTTTTTGGCTTCCACTAGGAAGGGACAGGCCCGGCCTCCGTGGTGTGGCCGACGCGGCTACAGTCCAGCGTGGGTTCCCCTCACGGCCCGCTTTCTTCCTCCCTGTCAGGTTTTCGATGCCACCAATACGACCAGAGAGAGGAGACACATGATCCTTCATTTCGCCAAAGAAAACAATTTCAAGGTGAGCCGACCTGCCGGCCCCGCCCGGAGCGCTCAGGAGGAAGGGCGGGAAACCCTCCAAACGGACCGGTTCACACTCGTCCCTCCTCCTCCCACTGTCCCCTCGTCCTGCCCACCTCCTGGCGGGCGCCCGTGGGGGTGACCTTGACGGGCGGGGCTGGGGGGCGAAGCGTGTTTTGACTGGGGAAGGATCCGATTGGGCAGGCGGCCCCTTTTCTTCTGTCTCGGGGATTCGAGAGTGGTGGCCCCTCCTCGGACACGGGGGTCACGTGGCGCTGCCGGAGCTGGCCCTCCGCGTCCCCGGTCAGTGGTTTCCTGACACGGCTGCCGCCCCCGCCTCCCTCCCCAGGTGTTCTTCATCGAGTCCGTGTGTGATGACCCCACCGTCGTCGCCTCGAACATCATGGTAAGGCCATGCCAGACCCCCAGGCAGTTCCCGGGCCCCGAGGGGGCGCCGGCCCTCCCGCCGGCGGTTGGTTGTGTCAGAGGTGGGACCCAGGCGGCCGGGAGTGCAGCGCTGCGTTGTGCTTAGGAGTGCGTTCTCGGACCCGAGCTGGCTTCGCACCGGGTCCTGTCGGTCAGTTGGCAGAAAGCAGTCTCTGTGGGATGTGAGGTCAAGCGGGGGATCTGGAACAGGGGCGGCAGCTCTGGGTGGGGATGGGGATGGGGCTGCTTGGGGCCAAGGGCAGGTCACCCCTCCAGGAAGCAGGCTGGTCTCTTTTGCTGTTATGGGCCCTGGGAGGTGGATGGCTGTGTATTGCCAAGGGCCATAGGACTCAGCAGGATAAAGGCAGCATTCCCAAGTTTGGGGAGCATGGGAGTGCTAAATCTATCTTCTGCTGAGGCATCCACAATCTGTGACAAGGGGAGGTACCCGGATAAACAGCGTAGTTGGCAGTTTAATTCGATGCATTTGTCGCATTCTTAGATTTCATCCCGGGATAGTAATATGTCATACATAGAAAGGGTCACTGTCAAGACCTGACCACACGTCACTGTCTCGGGTCGCAGATGATTTTCTGTCGGGCTCAGATACATCGCAATAGGACGGTTCTCATCTGGGGACGCGGGCGTTGCCGCGGGCAGAGCGCCTCTGCGGAGGGCCGCGTGGCTCATCGGCCCCTGGCGCTGGGCCTCTTCTCCAAGGTGGCGGGAATATTCCAAGCGTTTCTAAGAGACGAGCTCATCTTTCCGGAAGGGCGATTCAAATTGTGGGAAATTGGTCCCAATTAGTCTTCATGGGTCCGAAGGCAGAGGCTCAGAGGGTTCGGCTGCATCTCTTCGGCTTGGTTCTGCGAGGTCACCTGTCCCCGGCGGTCGGCGGCCATGCGCTCGGCCCGGAGCTCACTGCCTGTCTCCGTTAACACGCCGCGTCATGCGCACCCTCGGTGTGCAGAGCCTCACGCGGCCGGGCGGCTCCTGCCTCTCCTCTGTGCTCTCTGTGCGGCTGGCTGTGCCAGG